CCCTCAAGACCTCATTTTAATGAATCATTTCTCAAGTCCCTTAATGAATTAATCCCAGCCCTTAATGAATTATTGCTTTAAGACATTATTTTCAAATATTGTTACATTATGAGGTCGTGGGGATTGGGGCTTCCACATATGAATTTCGGGGTAACTAATTCAGCACATAAAAATAAGGAAACATTTCACACACTGGAATCCAAGTCCTAAAAATTAGCTATTTGAGCAGATACACAGTCACACAGAGAATATGTAGCTTCAGTGTTACAGTGTTAACCATAGTCCAAAAATATATGCAATCACAAAAATTTACAAGCCCAGGTGGCAAAGAACTGTTTTCCTTCCCATAAGCATAGACATTTTTATTTAATTTGAGGTCACAGACAGACAAACAAACAAACAAGCCATATTATCCGTGTCTGTTACTCAACAGAAAATAGAATTCTACCTTCAGTTTGAGAGGCTGCCAAATGATCAGTCCATAAAACCAGTTTCCCAATCATTGTGGCCGTCAAAAGGAAATAAATGGGGCTGGGGATTTATCTCAGTGGTTCTTCCTCCTTCCTTGCAAGTGCAAGGATAGATGTATAGGTTTTAAATGGTGCCCCTGAGCTAAATCCCCCGGCCTTTTTCTCTCATATTTTAAGTTACTCATTGTCTGAATATTTTCTGTTAGGGTTCATATTCTTGTTCTTTGGATATGATGCCTTTTTTATTTCTAAGGGAATCAGTTACTTTTAAAATTTTTGTTTTCTTTCATTCCCTTTATAGCCTTTATTTGTCTGGGTTTCTTTTTGTCTAAATCTTTCTTTTTTCAGGTTACAGACCTGTGTCTTAAATAATGTGTGTCAGTTCACGTGTTAAGTTGAAGTACTCAGATCTTGACTGGAAGCATTGTGTATGTGGGCTGGATTGATTGATTGATTGATTGATTTTAGTACTGGGGATCGATCTCGGGTTGTTGCGCTTGCAAGGCAGGCCCTGCAATCCTAAATCCTCGGCCCTGTGGGCTGAATTTATTGACTGCATGGTTTCAGTGTACACTGGCCCTGTTGTTATGTTGTATTTGATGATTCTTTGTTTTAAGGGCTGTCCTGTGTATTATAGGATGTTTAGCTGCAGATTTGACCTACCTGTCAATAGCATGCTCTCTACCCTAGTTGTAAAAGTCAAAGGTACCCCTGGTATTGCCTAATGTCTCCTCTGGGGAAAATGTGTCCTCCTTTGAGACTGCTATTATAGACACATTGACTTGAATTGGTCTATTTCACGGAGAACTCTAATGACTCTTTAGAGCTCTTTCTCTGGTGGCTTTAGACAGGATTAAATTCCTCTGCTTGAGATTTGAAGCCAGGTTGCTGGATTTCTGGGAGCCAAAAGATATATAGACTAGAAGTTTTCACTTAATTAGTGCTTTCACCATGGACCCTCGATCTTGCCGTTAGCTGTGTATTTTGCTTATCAGTGCAGAACTCCCCTTTTCACTTTGTCCAGAGAATAAACATCACATTTTTTAAACAGTATAAGGAGGGGTAATAACTGTTTGTGTAGGATGTGAGGAAAAAAAACAACAAAGCATCAGATTCTTTTATAGGTTTTCATCTATTCCTCCTGCTTTTATCTTTAATCATCCTAGCTTCAAAGGTAGCTGTTATTTTCAATTCTTCTGTGTGTGTGTGTGTGTGTGTGTGTGTGTGTGCACAACATTGAAAATTTGGTTGCTTATTGGGTCTATAGTGGTGATCACAAATGAGGACAAGTTTTCTCCCATTTGCAGTCACTTAGACCAGCTTTTTTTAATCTGCTGAGTCAGGTTGTCATCGTCAGAAAACTTACTGATCTACCTAGTATGCTGTTGTATTTGTTTTGTTCTTCCTTGAACAGATGTTACTGACATAGTTCTAGGTTTTAGAGTAGCAGAAAGATGAACACATATTCAGTTCAGAAATAATATTAAATGGTCTAATTCCAAAAACTATTTCATGTTTTTACATTTTTTATTTTGTTCGTAGGAGAAACTTAAATGAGGATTATAGGAATAAAACCAGAAATACTTTCGGAAAGGTTTCTAGGTTGGCCTTGTCCTGTTCCTAATCATCAAATGTATATTTTTAAGATTTTAAATTAGCGTACTTCATTTTAGTATGAGTGGAATTTTTCCAGGAGTAGAGTTTAAGGGACCAAGTGTATATGAATGACTATCAAAGAAACTGAGCCAGTATTGTATACTGTCTATAGGAAAGGGTCTTCTTAGCTTTTTAGTATTTGTTATAGCTTGTATCTAGTTACACCCTTAAAGCCTCATGCAGTCATATGTGGAACTTTTTCAGAGGTGGCTGAATCTAGAGTGTGTGTTGCTGGGATTAAGGGTGTGTGAGTAGTAAATCAGTGTACTGATTGGTTTGGCACTGTTATAATCCCTGTAGCCTAGTTAGAGTATAAAAGGGGCAGAAAGAAGCTGTGAAGATTCCTCCTTTGTTTACTTTGATACTTCGGCCTGCCCCTAACGGTTTCTTCTCTGTGATGCCCTTCTACCATGCTACCCTGCCTTGGAGCCAGCCTGTTATGGACTGAAACTTCTATAAACTGTGAGCCAAATAAACTTTTGCTCCTTTAACTTTGGGTGTTAGGTATTTTGTTCAGCAATGAGAAAAGTAGTAAGTAAGACAGAATTTGGTACCAAGAATGGGGTTGTCACTGTATGTGACCATGTGTTTCAGAAGCCTTTGGGACTGGCTTGTGGGAAGAGTTTGGAAAGATTTGGAGATGCTGGCTAAAAAAGCAGAGCTAGAATACCTTAGGCTATACTTGATGGGATATTCTCTAGTCAAAGCTCAGAAGATAAGAAGGCTGATAGAAATCCTGTCAGTAAAGACCAGGCTCAGAAAGTTTCTGCTGGCAAGAATTGCCTTGGCTGTTGGATTCCAGAAGATGTGTGTTATGCCTTGGCAGAAAGTTTGTCTGAATTTTGCTCATGTCCAGACTTTCCCTGAGACTAAGAATGGCACACAAATTAATCTTGCAGAAGAAATTTCAAGGCAGTCTCATGTTGAGGCTGTGACATGACTGCTGTTGTAGCTTTAAGCCAGATTTATGTTGAGAATGAAGAACAAAGAGCCCAGCAGAATGATTTAAAATGTTGTGAGTTTGGCTGGAAAGGAAGCTGCAGTAAAGCTGCAGCCTGAAAAGATGGAACAGAGAAAGAATATCAGTGAAAAGACTAGCAAGACATAGCCAAGTATTTCAAAAGAAGACAAACAGAAACAAAGTCCTGAGGAAAATCACAAGAACCATCAGGACCCCAGCCTTTGCATTCCTAGAGTTGCAAAGGTGAAAGACTGCTTTGAGAAAAGTATTCCAGAGCACCATGTTCTGGAATATCAGTAGCCTAGAGAATTTGTTCCTTGGATTTGGGTGTAGAGTGCTCAGGAATGCAGGCATTTGACCCCAACAGCCAAGAGAGAAGAAAACTTCACTACTACTCCAGCTGACAGCAGACCTTGACATCATCCACATATTGCTGGTTTTAGGTGCATGCAGAATGCAAGTGTTGTGGAGTCAGGAAGGCTTCCACCCATATTTCAGAAAGTGGCCTGGAAGGGCAGGCAGTGTACATCTGAAAGGGGTGTGTGTGAAGCTTATGGTGCAGTGGAGACCCCAGAAGTTCGGAGAAGCCAGGAACATGGATCATTTGAGGAAAACTGCAAGGAGGGAGGGAGCAGATCCAGCCCTAGAGAGAAGCCACGAGAGCTGCAACCACAGGTAGTGTCATAGGGACAGAGCACTCAAGGCCTTTGGAGTTGACAGCTTGCCACAGATTGCTGGGGATGCCAGACATGGAACTACTGCTGGATTTGGACTTGTTACAGTCCTATTCCTTTGTATCCCCTAATAATGTACCTTCTGGAATGGAAGTGTCTATCTTGTGCCATTGAATGTTGGAAATGTTTAACTTTTCATTTGTACAGGGGCACACAGCTAAGAGTTTGATTTAAATCTTAAAGACTTGGGTCTTGGACTTTTCAGCAATGCTGAAACTGTTAGGACTTGGGCAATTCTTGGAGATAGACTACATGCCTTTTGCATAAAAGATGTGCATGAGTCTTTGGTGGGCCAGGGGCAAAATGTTATGCCTTGTGTCTAGATGTCTGCCCAAAGCCTCATGAAGTCATAGGTGGATCTTTTTCAGAAGTGGCTGATTCTAGAGTGTGTGATGCTGGGATTAAGGGTGTGTGAGTAGGAAATCATTGTACTGATTGATTTGGTACCGCCCTAATCCCTGTACCCTAGCTAGAGTATAAAAGGGGCAGAAAGAAGCTGCCGAGGCCCTTCCCTTGCTTGCTTTGCTAACTTCTGTCCACCATGAACTGTTTTTCCTCTGCAATGTTCCTCTGCTGTTCCACCCTGGCTTGGAGCCAGCTAGTTATGGGCTGAAACCTCTATAAACTGTGAGCCAAACTTTGCTCCTTTAACTTTGGGTTTCGGGTATTTTGTCTCAGCAATGAGAAAAGTTAAGATAGTATTTGATACTTATCAGTTATACTCTTTGACTTTGAGAAGGTTATACCTTGGTGCCTACTTTTTTATTTTTAGAGATAAAAATTTTGTTTTTAAATTCAAACTTCTAGCGTCCAGTTCCCTAGCCATATATGGCTATTTAAATTAATTATAATTAAAATTTCAGTTTCTCCATTATATTTGACTACATTTCAGTTGCTCAGTAGCCACATTGACAACTGAGTGCCTGTGATATGTTGCTACTCAGCAGCCTTTTCAGGCTAGCACAGTTTATATCATATTGATAATTCCACAGATATCATGCAGGCTCAGAGAAGGTTGAATTTGTTCAGCCATCCCAGGTCACATAATGTATATTCATTTTCTCTTTAAAGCTTCAACCTCTGGGAAGGACTTTCTGTATTTCTGTGGGTTAAAATTCTGATAATTGTGTCTTTTGTTTGACTTCTCTGACTTTACTGTTAATTGTTTTCCCCCCTCAGACTGTGCAGTGCTTGCTAGACAGCGGTGCTGATATTAACAGGCCAAATGTATCAGGAGCAACTCCCTTGTACTTTGCTTGCAGGTAGGATATTTTATATTTTCAGATGCAGCCATTAAGGAATGTTGTATTTCTATTATAAACTTGTATTTTCAAGCATGTATTTCTGTATATTTTCTAAAAATGTTGTTTCCCCATTAATCTTATGCTTTCTTTAAAGATGAAGAATTACATTCTGGTTCTATTGCTTAATTACATGAGGGAAAAATTTAATTATATTTAATTGTCAGTGCTTTTATGTTATAGGTAGAGCTTTTGATTTGCAGCAATAATCCAGTAACTTGTGTAGCTCACTTTATTAAATAGTTCAGTTCCTTTGGAATAAGCTATTGAAGTGTATCATGGATCAGAGCCATATCTTTACTTTATCAGTATAACTTCTAAAACACATAATTGAATCACTTTGTTAGATACTAAGTTATACATTAAGGTATTTTTTTGTATTTGTCTGGATTCTTTTTTTGTACCTTGCACTTGTGAGGTAGGCATGGTGCTGCTGAGCTAAATTCCCGGTCCTTGATTCTTTTTTCTGGACTTGTACATTTTGTTTGCTTATTCACTCATGTAATCAACAAATATCTAGATAGTACCCACTGTATGCCATCCATTGTTAAAAACATCAGTGATGCAGTAATAAGTACGGGTCTGATAGCTGTGTGTTTGCCTTATATTTGGTAATGGTATTCTGAGTTGGCTGCTTTCAATTGGTTGGAAATTGATCTGTGGACACAGAAGAAAAGCAAAGTCAAACTTAACTGTCTTCTACTATATGTTTACCACACAAATCACTTCTGTGATCCTGAAATGTTTGAGAATTTCTCTCCACTAGGAAGCCACCAGTTTATCCTGCAGTGGCCATCAGCTGAGTTTCCTAGGGTTAGATTCCAGATTGAGGGCTCAGTCCCCACAGGTTGCCCCCACTACAGATGCTAGTCACAGGTTTGGGCTTCTGGAATTTCTGATCTACTGGCTACCAGTTGGAGTTCCTGTGGCTCTCTCCCCCATTTCATTATTTTTTTTAGAGCAGCTTACAGAACTCAGGGAAATTCTATATTTATATTTACTATTTTATGATAAAGGATATTTTAAAAAATACAAATAAGAGTCAGATAAATGTACACATAGGATAAGATCTGGAAGGGTAATGAGTGCAGGAGCTTCTGTTCTTACGGACTTGGGGTATGCTATCCTCTGACACAAGAATGAGTTCATATTCACATTTCTCTGAGCATGCGCCGTTTCAGCTGTCTGGAAGCTCTTCAAACCCCATCCTTTTGGGTTTTATTGAAGACTTTATTGCATAGGCGTGGTTAAACATGGACAACTGTGTAGAAATGTGATTGGACCAAAGGTTTGAAACCTAATGCTAGTGGATGGAGTGGGGAAACCCAGCAAGGCCTGTCTGTTCAGGTAATTCTTGGCCCCTCTGTGCCTCATTCCTTCTTCATGGGTGAGGGACAGGACTCCTTCTGAAATGGGGGTTCTATGAGCTCTTATACAATTTCAGAGAATTTTTTTTGTTTTTGTTTTTTTTTTGAGACAGGGTCTCACTATGTAGTTGAGACTGACCTGGAACTCACTATGTAGCCCAGGCTGGTCTCGAACTCAAAGCAGTCCTCCTGCCTCAGCCTCCTGAGTGCTGGGATTTCAGGCATGCACCACCACTCCCAGAATTCTCTTCAGAGAATTTCTTCATGGCCACTATGCCCATCTTCTACTTGTCATTTTTCTATGGTGTAGTGTTTTCTTCAGGGCTATGTCAAAAGAAAAGTTAAGCCTGTAATATAGTTTATTGAATGTGTTGAATATATGTTATAACCAGCTCCTATGTGCCGCGCTATGAAACACATATGCTGTCAAGAAGTTTATAATTTAATTGGAAAGATTAGACACACAGATATTAAATAACTGTAAAAAAGATTCATTAAAATTGAACTGGGTAACTTTTTAAAAACACAGAACTTTATCTTATAGCAAAGGTACAACTTTATTTCTTAGAGTACAAGTAGGTACTTTTTACCTGAGGCTTTATGTTTAAGCATAGTAAGGAATAGAATAATACAAAATTATCAGTATTAGCTGTACTGTACTATAGAATATCTTGACCAACACTACCAGATTAATGACAAATGTTGTATGGTACACTAGTAAAGCTAATCACTGTTTTGAAAGGGATTGCTGATTTACTTGGGTTTCTTTTTTTTTTTTTTTTTTTTTTTTTTTTTTTTTTTGGGTAATTGTTTTATTTTATTTTTTTTTTTTTTTTTTTTTTTTTTTTTTGCTTTTTTACTGGAGTAATTAGGTACTGTTAATTTCAGATTATTGGTTTTTGTATTAAAAAGGCATAAGGTTTTGAGAATGATATAGGTGTAATAGAAAAATACAGCAAATGTTAAATTTTTACAAGTTATTATAGTAAAAGACATTGCCATCAATCTCCCTCAAAATACATCCCCTTGGTTTTAACACAGTTATCCTATCATTTTTGCTATTTTTTTGCAGTATTTTTGCACGCCTTCCTTCATAAGTGTCTAGTTGCATTCTTATGCCTACACAATGTCCTGAATCAATTTAAAATGTTTACCTTTTATGGTCATTTTGACTTTGGGGAAGAGCCAGAAATTGTACAGTGCCAGATCTGATGAATATGTTGTTATGAGCCTGGCTTCCTTTTGAATGGCACTTGGTAGCAGCATTCACTGTATTTTTAATTATACCTAGTAAAGACACTTGTGAAAGAGGACTTCCAGAACTGCTTCAGAGAGTGGCAAGAACGATGGAATAAGTATGTTAAAGCTAGATTGAGTATTTTGAGAGAGATTAATAGCAATGTGTATTGTATTGTATTGTAATAATTTTTAAACATTTAAGCATTCACTATTTATTTTGATTACGCTTGTACAACTTATAAAGTTATAGGACTTTGTAGCACTAGATTCATAGAATTCTACTTTTTAAAAATTAATTTCAGTTGGCTATAAATTACTCTTATATAGTACTATTTTGCTTCAAATAGAATAGTAGTTCTTTTTTTTTTTTAATTTCTGAGAAATCTTTGTGGCCTCTGTGTGTGTGTGTGTGTGTGTGTGTGTGTGTGTGTGTGTGAAATGGTACATCTTCTATGTTATTGTAGAAGGAATGCTGCCTGAGAAGACCAAAGATAAGGGTTTTAGCTTCACCTGTGTTTGGTCTGGTTTTAGTTCTCATCTACAAAGTGAAGTGCTGGATTAGATGGTCTTTATATGGTTCTTTTGGGCATTTCTTAAAAATCAGCCTTTAATTTTAATGTCCCATTAATTCATATTAACCACCCATAATTAATTGGCAAACCTTTGAATTTTCTCACTTGGTTCTCTTTGTGCATAGTCACGGTCAGAGAGATACAGCACAGATTCTTCTGTTACGAGGAGCCAAATATTTGCCAGATAAAAATGGAGTAACCCCTCTGGATTTATGTGTACAGGTATGTTTTCATTATATATTCTGAGACCCTTTGTAATAGAAACTGAGAATGGTAAAATCATTTATTTCTGAATAAGACAGTGAGTGGAAAGATTTTTATTCTATGAAGAGTATGACCTTTAAAAGAAAATTTGTTTTAAACCTGAATAATTTTAAGTCTTATTTTTAGGGTGGATATGGAGAGACTTGTGAAGTATTAATTCAATATCATCCTAGACTTTTCCAGACTATAATTCAAATGACACAGAATGAAGACCTTCGAGAAAACATGGTAATGTAATTATGCTAATAACCTGCAAATGAACAAGCTTTATTCATACTTAACATATGATACTTTATAAATATGCTTAGTAATATTATTTATTTTTACAAATAATTTTAATAACTTGAGTGTGCTTACCTGCATTGTGGGATAAAAATAAATTACAATTGCCTCTCTTTCCATAGGTTCTGCAATTATGAATTTAACAGGTTTCAGCTCAAAAATATTTATTAAAAAGATGGCATTTATACTTAACTTTCATATCATTATTCTTTAAACAATACAGTAGGGCAGTTATTTATATAGCATTTATATTGTGTTATGTTGAGTAATCTATGGATGATTTAAAGTACATGGGTGAATGTGCATAGGTTATAATATTCCAGATACTGCAGATACTGGTATCCATGGAGATTCTGGAATTAATCTCCAGGGATACTGAGAGACAACTATATATAATAATTGATAAACTTTGTGCTTATATTTGCCTGTTTGAATTTTCTTTGGGTCTTTGTTTCTTTAATTTCTCCTTAGATATTTATTCCCCATGGATAGAGGAAAAGAATCTGAGGAGGCGTATCATGTTGTGATTAGTAATCATAAATTTTGGGCCCTGCATTTTTTACCCTTTTTAGTGTTGATCAAACTCAGTGCTTTATCACTGTGTATTTATAACATCTCTACTCTTAGAAAATTACAGTTTAAAACTCCTCTAATTTTAGAAATTTGGAATAAAATTTCCATGCATATGATTATACTTGGTGATTTCTATTTTACCTGTATTTTAAAATTGTGTTTTACTAGGGGATTTTGAATATAGGTTTATATCATCTTTATATTAGCATTTAAATTTATGCAAGGCAAGAACTGTAAAGTCCTTGATTTCAGCTAATTGTCTCTAAGATATTAAAATAAGTGCTTAATCTTTCAATAAAATTTAATGGCTGACTATATGATCACATTCTTTTAATTCATAAAAAATTTAGTTACGGCAAGTTCTGGAGCATTTGTCTCAGCAAAGTGAAAGCCAGTATCTAAAGATTTTAACAAGCCTTGCTGAAGTTGCCACAACAAATGGTCATAAACTGCTGAGGTAAGTGTATTGGCAAATCAATAGCTAACAGTATCTGCTTCATTTCCCGAATAGTATATTCTCTTACATGTCTTTTGTCAGTGGTAATATTACAAAAATTTGCTGACTTTTCATTGTTTTATTTAAAAGGATCAAGGTAATCAACTCTTACGACAGAGACTTTAACCTCTTTAAGGAAACCAGAGCATACTTAAATGAATGTAGCATGTATGTTTCGAGTTTTATGAAATGATTACTTAGACTAGTCATACAAATAAATGTACATGAAGAAGAAGCTACAAAGTAGTTCAGAAATTTATTACTGTAAAATTGGATGACAGCTACTTTCAACCTTTTAGTATACCCTCATGATTCATTATAAAGTTTTCTTCCTGAACTGTCTTGTTCAGTTCAGTTCTTTATCCTTCCCAGAGTTTTTTTTCCAGCAGGTCTTAATGGCTCATCCCTAAGTTGATGGAGTTACTGTCTTTATATTACTTGACTTTACATACATAGCATTTTACTGCAGCCATACTTCTTTGGGATTAGTGACTGCAGTTAGGAGTAAGCAGCTATTAAATGGTTATTGTGTTACTCTTTCTTAATTATTTGACCCTCTTCTAATTGGAATACTTTCATCTTCATTTTACTAGTTATTTACCTTCCCTCCTGTCCCCTCTCCTGCCCTCTCCCTGTTACTTAAATTTGAACCCAGGAAACTTCTCACTGAGATCCACCCAAACATTTGTTATTTTTTATTTTGAGTCAGGTTCTCACAAAGATGCCAAGTTTCCCATGCTGTGTTTGAATTTGAGATTTCTTGCTTCAGTCTCTCAGAGTGCTGGGATTATAGGTGTGCACCAGGGTTCCCAGGTTTTATTAATCATTTCTTTTTGGGGGTTCAGTACTGGGGAACAAACTCAGGACCTTTTACTTGCAAGGAATGTGGTGGCACCACTGAGCTAAATCCCCCGCCCCTAATCGTTTTTGCATTGACAGGTCACCACTCTCTCCTACCTGTACAGTTGCAACTAAACTTTTTTAAAAATTAATTTTATTGGAACATTGTAGGTATACAGTATAATGACATTCATCATTGGAAATTTATACCTTTACATAATATATGTTGGTTCTTATTTTTTCCCCTTTCCCCTTCCCTCCCTTTAACCCCTCCGTATTTACTTTGTTTCCATTTTTTCCTTTTCTCATATTAATTCTATTTCCTTCTTTCCTTTCCCCAAGCCCTCCCCCTTACCCTTACCCTTTGCACCTTTTCTTCCTATTTCACATTATATATTATACGTTTTGATCCTTGTTTACACTTTCAGTGTCTCACACCAGAGAAACTATTTGGTATTTACACGTCTGTTTTATTTATTTCACTTAAGAGTATTGCCTCAGTGTGCATCCATTAAGCTATAAATGTCTTTAATTTTTTCATTCTTTATGGCTGAGTAGTACTACATTTTATAAAAACAACCATATTTTCTTTATTCAGTTTCCAGTTGATGGACATTTGGTCTGTTTCCAAGATTTAGATATTACAAACAGTGCTTCTATGAACATGGGTACACATATATTGCTGTGGTATGATTCTTTTTTTTTTTTCCTTACTGGGGATCAAACTTGGGTCCTTGCACTTGCAAAGCAGGCTGCACAACCACTGAGCTAAATCCCTGGCCCGATACTTTTAATTCTTTTGGGAAGATAACCATTAGGGGAAGAGCTGGGTCAGATGGGACCTCTAATCCTAATTCTTTGACGTATCTCCATATTGATTTCCACAGTGGTTGTACACTCCCACTAGCTTTGGAGCAGTGTTCCTCTTTCCCCATAGCCCACCAGCATTTGTTATTGGTTGATTTCATGATAGTAGCCATTCTTTCTGGGGTGAGGTAGAATCTCAGTGCTGTTTTCATTTGCATCTCTTGAATGACCAGTAATGTTGAATGTTTTTTCATATGTTTATTTGCTATTTTTACTTCTTTGTCTGAGAAATGTCTGTTCATTTCAGATGCCCATTTTTGGATTGGGTGTTTAAATTTGAGAGGCCTCACTTTTTAAAGTTTTTTATATATTCCAGATAGTAGGCCTCTGTCTAAAGAACAGCTGGTAAAGATATTTTCCCATATTGTGGGTTGTCTCTTCACGCTGTTGGTGGTTTTTCTTGCTGTGCAGAATCTTTTTAATAAGAGATCCTAGTTGTTGATATTTGTGCTAGTTCATGTGTGACTGAGGTTTTGTTCATGAAATCTTTTTCTACGACAGTGGCTTCAAGACTTCTACCTAACTTCTCGTCCAACGGGTTTAGTGTGTTTGTTTTATATTTAGATCTTTTATCCATTTCAATTTTAGTTTAGTGCATAGTGAGAGATAATAGGTCTAGTTTTAATCTTTGTCAAGTTGAAATCCAGTTTTTCCAGCACCACTTATTAAAGAGGCTGTCTTTACTTCCTGGTAGGGTGTTTGGCTCCTTTGTCGAAGATTAGGTGGCTTAGTGTGTCTGGAATAGTTTCTGAATCTTGTAATCCTGGTCCTCAGGTCTGTTTCTTTGCTAATATCATGCTGTTTTTATCACAGTAGTTTTGTAGTACAGTTTCAAGTTGGGGATTGTGATAGCCCTACCTTGTTTTTGTTGCCTAGAATTACTTTTGCTATTCTAGGTCTCTCTCTCTTTTTTTTTTTTTCCCAGTACCGGGGATCAAACTCAGATCCTTGCACTTGCGAAGCAGGCAGCAGAACCACTGAGCCAAATCCCTGGCCCTCTAGGTCTCTTCTTGTTTGAAATGAATTTTTGGATTGTTCTCTCAAGTTCTGTGAAGTATGCTGTTAGAATTTCATTTGACATTGCATTGAATCTATATAGCAGTTTTGGAAGTAAGTATGGCCAATTTCACTATATTGGTTCTTCCTACCTAGGAGCAAGGGGTATCTTTCCATTTTCTGATATCCTCTTCTATCTCTCTTTTTTAATTAGAGTGCTATAGTTTTCAGAGTCAAGGTCTTTAATTTCTTTTGTTAGGTGATTCCTAGGTATTTCGTTTTTTTGAGATGCCATTGTGAAAGTCATTGTTTCTACAGTTCCTCATTCAACAAGTCCGTTGTTCATGCATAGGAAAACTATTGGTTTTTGTGTGTTGACCCTGTATCTAGCTAGCTACTGTACTAAATTTGGTTATTAAGTCTAATAAAAATTATTGAGACTTTTGGTGGAGTTCTTGGGAACTCTATAGAGTATCATTTCATCTGCAATAAGGATAATTTAACTTTGTTTTCTATCTTTATTCCTTCATTTCTTTATCTTGTCTAATTGCTATGGCTAATGTTTCCAAAACTGTATTAAACAGGAATGATGATAGTGGACATCTTTGTCTTGTTCTTGATTTTAGAGTGAAGGTTTTCAGTTTGGGGCCATTTAGTATGATATTGACTGTTGGTTTTTCATAGATAGCTTTTATCAGGTTGAGGTAGAGACTGTCTATTGCAATTTTCTGTAGGGCTTTTATCATGAATGTGTGCTGGATTTTGTCATACACTTTTTCTGCATCTATTGAGATGATCATATGGTTTTTGGTTTTGGCTCTATTAATATAGTGTATTGCATTTATTGACTTGCATATGTTGAACCATCCCTGCATCCCTGGGATGAATCCCACTTGGTCAGGGTGTATGATCTTGATGATATTATACATTCTGTTTGGCAGTATTTTTTTGAGGATTTTTGCATCTATGTTCATTAGTGAGATTGGCCTATAGTGTTCTTTTTTGGTTGGTCTTTCTCTGCTTTGGGGATCAAGGTGATGCTTGCTTACAGGAATGAATTCAGGAGTATTGCTTCTCTCAATTTCATTGAAGAGTTTAAACAGTAGTGGCAGTAGTTTTCTAAATGTCTTGTAGAATTTAGCAGTGAAGTCATCATGACCTGGGCTTTTCCTACTTTGTAAGTTTTTAGTTACCTTTTCAATTTTGTTGATTGATACTGAGTTGTTTAGAATTTCTAAGACTTCTTTGTTCAACTTTGGTAATTCATACGCATCTAGGAATCTGTCCATTTCTTCTGTGTTTTCCATCTCCTTGGTATATAGGTTCTCAAAGCAGGTATTGATGATTCTTTGGATTTCTGCAGGGTCTGTTGTAATTTCACCCGTTTCATTCCTAATTGAATGGATTTGGATCTTTTCTTTGCTTTGTTTGATAAGGTTAAGAGTTTCTCAATTTTGTTTCTTCTTTTGAAGAGCCAATTCTTTGCTCCACTGATTCTTTTGTATCATTTTCTTATTCTGCATTGCATTGATATCTCCTTTTAATCTTTGTAATTTCTTCCCTAGTATGAGCTTTGTGTCTGTCTTACTCTTCTTTTTCTAGAAGCTTGAGTTTCAGCATCAGGTTGTTTATTTGAGTTCACTCTGTTTTCCTAATATGAGTATTCACTGCTATGAATTTCCCTTGTAAGACTGCTTTCATTGTGTCCCATAGATTTTGATATGTTGTATTGGCCTTGTCATTTAATTATAGAAACTGTCTGATTTCTTCTTTAATATCCTATGTGACCCATTGGTTATTCTGAAGTGTGGTGTTCAATTTCTATGTGTTTATGAAATTCTTGTGTTTTCTTTTTCTATCTCCATTTTATTGCACTGTGGTGTGATAATATACAGAGGATAACTTCAATTCCTTTAGACTTATTTAAACATGTTCTCTGAGCAAGTATGTGGTTTATTTTGAAGAACAACCTGTGTGCAGCTGAAAAGAGTTTATGTTGTGATTTTGTATGATGGAGCATTCTGTAAACATCTGTTAAATCCATTTGTTCAAGAGTTTTATTGAGTTCTAATGTTTTGTTGTTTATTTTTTTGTCTAACTAGACAATGGGGTATTGAGGTCCCCCACTACCTATTTTATTAGTGCTTATTTGATTTTTCATGTCTGTTAGTGTTTGTTTTATATAATTGGATGCACTAGCTTTATTGCATATGTATTTATGATTGTCATCGCTTCCTCTTGTATTTTTCCTTTTATAA